AATCCCGTGCCTCTGAAGTTATTTCATAAACTTCACGCTCTTATGGGATGTGCACATAATTCAGAGAGCTTATTTCCCCAGGATGTCCTAAACCACTCGTGTGTTGAAAGTGCAGTACTTTAGTCTGGGAACCAGTAGGGCCAATTCCATTATTTTTGTCTCCTTGATTATACATGCAAAGGAGTGATCTCTGCCCTGAACTTTGAACTTTCTGATATCACTAAAATAAGGTTAATTAATGTTTGTCAGAAGCTTTTTTTTTGGGGGGGGGGGCGTGGAAACAAGTGGTGAGATAATGGGATAATGGAATGTTCTATTGGAAGAAAAGAACAAACCTATAATTACAATACTTATCGTTCCCCTTTGCCTCCCTGAGTAACCCACTGTGCATCTTGTGCTTCACTAAAGATTAAAAGATTCCTTACAGTTGTGTATGCTTGATCTTGTTTTCTTACCCTCTGCTTTTGAATATGTAACACTCGGACGTTTTGAGGATGACAAAGAAATGCCCACTGTCAGAATGTATCAGGGTCTAGAGGCATCCACGCTATGGCAGTGGGAATCTGTGTGCTGCTCTTATCTTGGTGATCCTCATATCCTGAACAAAAGGCCAGTAAACACACTTCTAGAATTAACTTTAACAATGAGGGCATCTCTCTCACCACTTTAGAGTCCAAGTCCCTCACAGCAATGCAGGAAGCTATGGGAATAGGGTGAGGCTGAGAGAGGTTTGAAGAGATCCAAGAGGGGCAGGCATGGTAGGGCCCAGCCTCTGATTTGAGAATGAAAAGGGGAGTCGGTGATTAATAAATGATAGCAAGCCACATTTGTCTAATTTTTCAGTTCAAGCAATGCTAGTCTGTTGGCGCACACGTGTTGTATCCAGAGTAGCATAAATAAACATGTCGGCTATCAGCTCAAATGTGTGTAGCAACAAAGCTTTGATTCTTCTGATGTCAAATTTCAGTAGCTATCCAGTCATGGATTTTCCAGCATGGAAAGTACATGCATTTTTTTTATGTAAAGCCACTTAGTTTGTGAATACATTTGATGCCAACATTATACACCCATCCCCAGCTGGCCAGTGATGCCAGCTTCTGTTGCACATTTGGATTTTTCTAAACAAGCTCCTTCAGGCTTTCTCCTCTACTACGCCTCCCCCAACAAACATCCACAAAGCTCTCTCTCTTCTACGTTTGTGTCAGACTTCCCTTTGTTACAGGAGCCTACAGAAAATGTGACAGCAGTAGGTGCTGAGACACCACCTATTGTCTGACTCATAGATTTTTGGGGGGCAGTGTAGTCTAGTGGATACAGCCCTAGACTGGGACCCAGGGAGCCTGAGCACTATTTCTGGCAGTGCTACTGGCCTGCTAGGCGACCTTGAGGGACATTGCTCTGTGCCTGTTTCCCCAAAGCGCTTGAAGCTACCGATGAAAAGCACCATATAAAAGCTATTTGCAGTGTTGTAGCCATGTTGATCCCAGGATATTAAGACAAGTGGGTGAGGTAATATTTTTGGATCCATTTTGGTTAGCAAAAGAGACAAGCCTGTCTTTTGCCAACAAAAGCTGGTTCAATAAAAGAGCTACCTCATCCATCTTGTGTCTCTATAAAAGCTGGGTATGTTTGTTCTGTGTTTGTACATCAGCTAGCACAGTGTACTCCTTGTCCATAAATCCTATAGGAATACAACTAATACATCAAGTACAAGCTGAACAGGGCAAGTCATCTTTGTGTCATTTGTGTAAAAGACAACTGGGATGTTTGTTGTGTTGGAGGAGCTGCGCCAGATTCATAATTAAGTAACATGTTTATAGACGTGTTTGTGTGTTTCCAAACTATATTTGGATGTACTAGCTATAAAAAGACCTCTGTGCAATATGACCTTTACCCAGAGTCAGATCTTCTGTCCACGCTGCTGCCGATTGCCCACAAGAGAGAAGATCGAGCCAGGATTCAAGCCTGTTGAATTTGCAATTCTTCTCTTCTTGTTCCCCATGAAGATGACCAAAGAAACTATATCTCTGCACTCCCTGAACGAGACATTAAACAGGTCACAAAGGGTTGTGTGTGTTAGTACTACAAGGAGGAACAGGGCAAGGCTCCTTTGTGCTGGGAAGGGGCTATAGGAAGATGGGGTGAGGGAAGAGATGAACAGCTACTGGAGTGGTGGGTCTGCATGATAGATGAGTCTGTACTTGTTAATTCTTTATGGGAAATAGAGAGGGGATCAAAATGAATGTAGGGGGTGACGGGTCTCAGATCACAAGGAGTCTCTGTGTTTCTCCTTTCTCTCAAAACAACCAACCACCTGTTTTGTGAACAACCATTTGCCCGGTTCGCAGCCATTTACCCCTGTTACCAGATGCATGAGTGCTTCGCCATCAGCCTGAATGCAGCTGCTTGATCCCCAGTCGTAAACTAACTCTTTTTTAAAAGTTTGAGAATGGGCCAGCTGGGAATTCTAATCTATCCATGTTGAACATGTTCGTGTTGTGATATGGTCCAGTTCTGAGCAAGTGTTTTTAGGTGAGCCCAGGACTGGTGAGCTCAGAACCCAGTGAATGTAAAAGAGAAGGACGGGAGTGAGGGAGCCCACGGAAGAAACTTAACTTCATGTTGCCGGGTCTCACACAATCATCTTATTTAATGTGCAGACGGTGTCATTGAAATAGTTCATATTGCAATTAGAAGGGAAGGAAAAACATGGTTGAAAATGCTGCTCTAGTTACTCAAGATGGAGAATACATAGCCCCTTTTCCTGAAAAGCACATATATGGGAGTTCCAGGTCTGACAATTGTGCAAACATTATCTAACAGGAGAGGCTTGAATATGTTTAAAGTTGGTGTCTGCTCAAATAAATGTTGTAGTAAAAGTGGCTGCTGTAAAGCTGGGATGTACTCACTGCTGCTGGGATGTACTCACTGGCTGGAAGAGAGAGAGCAATTCTAAAATAGCCTTTTTGTGCTGCAGCTGCTTGGTTCTGCCATGCTTAAAGAACCACCTCTAGACTTGCACTAAGGTGGCAGGAGCGTTGAGAGCCATTGAATGACGCTGCAAACCCTGCATATGATAGTACCCACGTGAAACCAGGGTGTGTAGAGGTAGTGCAGCCCGAGCATTAGCACCTAGAGGGGAGTTTGTAGGGACTGGGAAGTCACCAGGCTGAGGAGGAAAGGAAGAGGCTGGGTTTAAGTATTGTAGTACTACTAGAAGATTTGCTTTGCATTGCTGGGACTCTTAACTCAATTTTTGTGTGGCAGAAAATAAAATGAAAATGTCCATGCTTCATTGAAATCATTGGGCTAGGGAGGAGGGGTTCAGGGTGCTGGCTGTCCCAGGAAGAGAGGCTGACCTTTGCCTATTCTCACTGCAGCAGCTTGAGGCCAGGTGAGAAACGCCCCTTCACGGCTGCTGTAGCTCCAGCAGGCAGAGCGGGAGGAGGGTGCATGTCCCCTGGCTGGGGCAGGTCCAGGTTCATCTGCCCCTGAGCTCCCCAGCCAGAGTGAGGAATGCAGCAACCTGGGCACTTTCCCTTGGCTCCCTGTAATGTTCCTATACAAATGGGGTGGGAGATTCAGCCTTCCCACCCTCTTTAAAGGGTGCATGAGGGGTGGGAGACTCAGGGCTGGTGCAGTCCCAGGCAAAGGGGCATCCCACAGTCAACCCCTTTCACCTGCCTGGTGATTGTCTCTCCTCTGAAGGGGTTTAGGAGAAGCAATCCCAGTCCAGGCACATCCCATTGTCCTGGCACAACCAACCCCTGCCCTTGCTTTAAGTTACGATAAGAGGAAGCTGCCTGCCGAACGTGGTGGGCCTAACTCCTGCCATTTAGGAGTTCTTGAACAGACAGGCACACACACATATAGGCCAACTCAATATAAAGTAGATTTAAATATTAAGTAGTGGTGGATTTTATACAGCGCTGACTTACGTGTCATGTAGGATTAATTTGGGTCCTCAAATGAAACCCCCAAGATTAGACTGTACTTGATAGGTCACGAATAGCAGGTATAGAAGCTCTCCTAGTAAGAATTAGGGTGCATTAATTATCTGATGCATTAATTCAGATAGCCTTGACAGCCTGTGAAGAAGACTATGCGATGGCTTCTAAAGGCACCCAGACTACATCAAGCAACTGAAGCTCAACTGGCAAATAATTGCAAAAGGAGTCAGGAGGACTTCTAAGTAAAATGGAGAAATCTTAAATTGGATCTCAAGTTAGTCATAATGCAGCAGATGTGGAGTCTTCTTTCTGTGCAGAAGTTGAGATATGTTGATTCTAATAATATGAGTGGTTCTTATATTCCACAGGGTGGAAAACAGGCTGCAGACCTTGGAGTCTCAGTTCAAAGAGCTGAACTCCTCCATGGAGAAACTGACCCAAAAGCTGCAGTTCCAGGGTGAAACCCTGGAGAAGCAGGTGGATCAGGATGAGATGTGGACATCCTTGCTGGAGGACAGGTATGCCACAAAAGAAAAAGAACCAGCTTAGTTTTCACTATGCATCAGTTGGGACTTGGGAGACTAGAGAATGGAGAAATCTGTAACATTCTACACATGCCAGTGACAGTGAATAGAATCTATATTACACGTCTACATTGCATCTCTCTTGTGCAAAAGCCTATGCAAATGAAGCACAGATTAGCATATTGCTGTGTTTCATTTGCATAATTAATTAGGGGCCGTTTTTGAACAGGAGGCTTTTGCACAAAAAGGTATCATCTACACTGCTCCTTTTTGTGCAAAAGCCTCCTGTTCAAAAACGGCCCCTAATTAATTATGCAAATGAAACACAGCAATATGCTAATCTGTGCTTCATTTGCATAGGCTTTTGTGCAACAGGGATGCAATGTAGACATAGACTGAGTACAATGAACATAACTCTTTGTATATCCAAGATGTGGCTTTGAATTGCCTGTTAATGCAAGAGACTAGTTTGTTGATATTGGCAAGACAAATTCCATTCCAAGTGCAAAGACTTTTAAAAACACTTCAAATATGCACGTAATAATATTGTATCTTAAAAAACCCATACCATTTCTAAGAATATCAGAGACACCATATGCTCTTTCAAAACTTCTCAGATAACTGTGTCCCACTGTAAGCAGTAACAATCAGAATCTCATTAATGCCCTGGTTTTTGTTCTGTTGGCGAATAAGGACAAAATTCATATTTCGGTGCTTGAAATTAAGGCTCCCATACTTATATTTAGATGTCTAAATAACTGGCTTTTTATTAAAAAAAAAAAAAAAAGTACCAAGAAACCCCTGGACAGCAATGGCAGCTGCAGAAGTAGTACTGAGTGGACTTTTAAGTTGTGAAGTTTTATATTGTGTATTTTTTAATACAACTAATTTTAGTATATAAGCCTACATCTGTAAGTTCAACTATTATGATAAAGACATTGCACCATGGTACTTAGGTTAATTGAAAAATATAATTTCTTTGGTTTATACAGTGTTAAGTATTTGTAATAAAAATAGTGAGCACTGTACATTTTGTATTCTGTCAATTATGAAATCAATGTATTAAAAACATAGCAAATACCCAAAATTATGTAAATAGTGTTCTCTTGTTTAACAGCATGATTAAATGCATGATTGTGATTAATTTTTAATTGTGTGATTCATGTTTTAACTGCTTGACAGTGATTGCTAGGGCTTTTAGAGACCACTAGAACACTTATTGCCTAAATGGGAATGAACTGAAGTCTCTGGGAAGTATTTTTGTCTGAGAAGTGGTTTATGTGTCTCCATCTCCCTGGCAGGTTCACTTCTGTGGAGATAAATCTTTTCTACAGCATTGTCAGTGAAACGCTTTGCGACTTGCATTCCCGTGTAAGAGTGAAGCTGCCCGATCTGGCGGGAGGCCTCCCCACCTTAGCCTCTGTCATGAGGCGCAAAACCAAGAACCAGAGAATCCGGCTGGTATGGGAAGCAGTGCTGGAGCAGCTAGGGCTGCAAGACGGGGACGTGCTAACTTTGTGCACCTTTTTCCTCGTGCACTGCCCTGAAGCGCAGCACAGCCCGGCTGGCCAGGGACACCAATGCACCAGCGATATCAGTGCAGTGATCGGCTCGGCAGTGCACAACCCGATGCTCCGGGAGAGCCTGCTGCGCGCTGCGCGGGTGGCGGAGACTGGCAGAGCGCAGCGGGGTCCCGGCCAGGCAGCAGCCCCCGTCCACACACCCTGTGTTGTGGGCTCGCAGCTCCTGCGCCCACCAGGACCTGACCCAGCAGCCCCCGTCCACACACCCTGTGCGGCCGGCTCGTACCCCCTGCGCCCACCAGGACCTGACCCAGCAGCCCCCGTCCACACACCCTGTGCGGCCGGATCGTCCCCCCCGCGCCCACCAGGAGAGGGTCCAGCGGAGGGCAACCAAAATGATTAGGGGGCTGGAGCGCATGACCTGTGAGGAGAGACTGAGGGAGTTGGGTCTGTTTAGTCTGCAGAAGAGAAGAGTGGGGGGGATTGGAGAGCAGCCTGCAGCTCCCTGAAGGGGGGTTCCAAAGAGGCTGGCGAGAGGCTGTTCTCAGTGGTGCCAATGGCAGAACAAGGAGCAATGGGCTCAAGTTGCAGTGGGGGAGGCCCAGGGGGATATTAGGAAAAACTCTTCCCTAGGCGGGTGGGGACGCGCTGGGCTGGTTCCCCAGGGAGGGTGGAGTCTCCACCCCTAGGGGGTGTCAGTCCCGGCTTGGCACAGCCCCG